TTGAAGTTTGCTCGAATTTTTATGGAGAATTGTTAAGAAATAACCTGATTTTAACATATTTTCTCATAAATCTGCCCGAATTTTCTTGATTTTTCCTAGAGTTTGCCTGCATTTCCGTGGTTTTCCAAAATTTTGGGGGGCAGTTGCCCCCCCCCCCCCGCCTCGTATGCCTATGCCAATAAGGCATTTACAACATGAACATAATACGAAGCCAAAGTGAAAGTGTGAAAGTGAAAGAAACTTTAAAGAAAGCGTACTAATTCTCGTATTTTACTCGTATGTACTCGTATTTTACTCCTATGTACTCGTATTTACTCGTATGTTACTCGTGTGTACACGATGTTACTCGTGTGTACTTGTATGTTACTCGTATGTACTCATATGTTACTCGTATGTACTCGTATGTTACTCGTATGTACTTGTGTGTTACTCGTATGTACTCGTGTGGTGTTTTAGTCACGATCAATATGAACACCATATAAGGACATAATTACTGTATGATTGACATTTAGCAAAAACAACAGAGTACATTGCGAGCGAGAGAGAAATAGGTGTGTAAACATAATACAACATACGAAATAAAATCGAATAATTTGGCGATTAAAAACACCGAGTGAATTGTCGTGAAGGACGGCCCTTTTAGTAGAGCATTCCGACAGTCAGTTGACAGTCAGTTGACATACTATTACATGTATTAAATTGCTAGCTGGTGTTATATTATAAACGTCAATATGTGCAGACCGTGCTGCAGACAACGATCCACATTGGGTTGCTCTAGCAATCTTATTACAGTAAGCCTGATTAAACAACATTCCGCGTTTATTTTCAAACTATAAACATCTACAAACTGAACACTATATATACTCATGGTTTTGGCTGGCTTGCACATATCAATAAACTCATAATCAGTTAAAGCAAATCTCTTGCCTCTAGAATTTTCGAACGCTAAACAGTTCATCGCCTTGATGGCTATTAACACAAATAAATAAAGCCATAGTTACTTGGTTTCTTCGGGAAGTGTTTGTATATTTTGCATCAAGTCAGATCCATAATAAAAAGCTTGCAAATTATGTGCACGCAATTCAATATTTTTCTCGCACTCCCCCCGGTGTCCCCCCCGGAATTACGACATCTTAAATATGGACAGACACAAGATCTAGATCTCGACAACACATAGATCAGCGCGAAAGACTGGGTCAAGTGAACTCTGGAGCAAGATTAGGAGTGCTGCCTTTGGCAGCAATAACATTATAGAATATATTAATACAATTATACAGAAAACTACATATACATCTACAAATTAGCATATATCAACACTATGTTGTTATTATTTAATATTATACCTCAACTTCAAATTGTCCAATCAGAAAGCTTAGTTTGTGACACGTGAGCATGAAATTAATCACGATATCACGCCTTACGTCATCAATTTGTGAGCCCGCGTTCCTTTTGACAATGTTCCACCCCATGTTCCCCGGGGAACATGGGGTGGAACATTATTCACGTAGACCACACGAGACAACACGCATGACTCAATGGGTAAAAATGGCGGGAAAATTTCATGCCCACTTTCAAAATGGCCGAGAGTGAAGACAACCTGTCGAATATCGAGTCAGAAGACGAAGAAATTGCACGTATATTAGACGGCAGACACACGAAAGGCAACAAAATATGCTCTAAAAACATTTTTAGACGCAGTAGGGGATGTAGAAGGACTCACAGATAAAAGAATGCTCGACAAAAGTTTGGCGAAGTTTTTTGCTAACGCCAAAAAGAAAGATGGTACAAAATTTAAAGCAAGTGCTCTTTTAACCTTGCGACAAGGCCTGAGACGGCATTATTTGGACAGTTTGGGCTATGATATTGTGAATGAAAAATCATTTTCGTACAGTACGAAAGTCTTCAAAGCTGCTGTAAAAGATTTACGACGACAAGGTCTTGGTTCTGTCAAACACCACGTCCCAATAACAAGAGCTGATATGACAAAACTATACAGCGGCGACACTGTTGTGTTTTACATGGATACACCAAACGGCCTCCTGAACAAAGTGTGGTTTGAAGTGATGTATTTTTTATGCCGACGGGGGCAGGAAAATCTGAGAGCAATGACTATAGAAACGTTTGAGTTATCAACCGACAGCACAGGCAAGAGATACATCTTCCAAAAGACGGATGAACTTGACAAAAACCATCGAGATACCACGGCAGGAACTGTGACACAAGGAAGAATGTACGAATTACCAGGTATGCGCTAGTATATGGATGCATTTTATTTGTATGCTTATGATTTATGAATGAATGAATAGTAAAGTTTGAATTTATTCTATTTTTAGGAAACCCTGCTTGTCCTGTAGAATCATTTCTGAAGTACAAAAGTAAATTGAACAAAGATATTAATGCTCTTTGGCAACGACCACTTGACAGCTTCGTACCAGAGGAAGAAACCTGGTTTTGTAAGGCTCCGCTTGGAAAAAAGACTTTGGCAAATATGATGGCAACTATTTCTCGTCAAGGGGAACTATCACAAAGATATACAAACCATTCTATTCGTTCAACAGCAATAACTGCTTTGGATGAAGCTGGTTTGTTTCTTAAAACTGAATAAATATACCATAATGCAAGTTTCTATTTGCATATTATTAACCTGATTTTCTCTTAACAGGATACGAAGCTAGGCATATCATGGCTATCTCAGGTCATAGGAACGAAGCAAGCATCAGGTCATATTCTGCGCACGTATCAGAGGAGCAGACGCGTAGGATATCCGAATCTTTAACCCTTGCCACTGCCGACGATAGAGCTGTTGATGTCTATCAACGTCCTGCAACATCTGCATCGCCTGCAAGATCGCCCATACTGAATGATTCTGACCTTCCTTCTACACCCAATTTAAACCAAATAATGAATACAGTCTTATCACCTGTAATGTCCACATCGACGGACGTCTTCAAATACAACAGATTTGATGGCTGTACGATTAACATTAACGTTCAAAAATAACAATTTAACAGCTTAATTATATAGTTACACTTAAACCTTAATTTATTCATCGTTACGTTTACGTTTTCTATTACATTACATTGTCTTAATAAAATGATGATTCAACTATTTTTTCTGCGGCGTATTTTTTCGGTATAATATATCATTTATAGACCCTCCGCTCGGGGGATTCGGCAAAATATTACCCTCAGCGATGATATTTCCCTCGGGGCAAGCCCCTCGGGAAATATCATCGCTGAGGGTAATATTTTGCCGAATCCCCCTCGCTCCGGGTCTATAAATGATAAATACTACAGTCATGAATAGCGAACAACTGATTGGTCAAATTTAAAATTTGCATTATAACAACTGCATGACGACAACGAAATAGCAAACATTTCTTGATTTGATGATTTCTTGCAAATATATTTCATTTTTGCAAGATTTTGTGAATTTCAAAAGATTTGAAGGTGAAAAGAAGGGAGTAAAGGCGCCGACATTGAAGAAGGTACTGTCTGAAAATTGTTACATGGTATTTTCCACGAAAAATGCATTTTACCTTGTACGAGATACTCGCGCTAATTTATTCTGCATAAAAACCAAATATGATTGGTATGTTTGTGGGTGCATATTTTTTACCTCTTTAGTTAAGGTGGCTCTGCTAAGCTGCTCAAGTTATATTTGCTTTCTTATATGGTCTTACTCTGGTAGGAGTTGTGCAATCAAAGTTCAATCGTTTTATATAAATAAGACCATACTCCTATGAACTATCTGTTTGTAAATATATATACCAGTTATTCTTGAAATAAGGCAATTTGTACAATTTTAGATTGATTGGAAATTAAGTCATTGTGTTTAGATAATTAAAAAAAATGTTTCCGCAAGTAATGTAAAGAAGGGAAATTTTCTATTCCGTCTGCATTTAGTCTAAGTGTGATCATTTATCAAATCGTGCATTGATGTCATCTAATTAACACTTACTCGACAACCACAGTAAAAATAGGAACGCGACTCGTACACATTTTTTTATTTTCTTGAAAGGAACTGAATAACGAAGATAACATGGAACAATTTTTGTATATTTCATCACTTATTAAAATAAATATAATAGCAAATAAGATTTTAAAGTCCAAAATGATACACATCTAACAGGACTGTGCACAGCGTGGAGGGGAATATGTGCAACTGACCCCCCCCCCCTGCCAAGAAAATATAACTAATTACCTCCGCCAGAAGGTTATGTAATTATCTGGGTTTGTATGTGTGTATGTGTGTATGCGTGTTTGTCTGTAAGCACGATAACTCAAGAAATACCAAACATATTCATACAAAATTTTTTTAATGCATTTCCCATCTGCCCAGGAAGAGTTGATTAAAATTTGGTTGAATTTGATGAAAAATTAAACGAGAAATCAACAAAATGTTCTCTTGCTTTTCCCGATCAATTATAAAAACTTACTGAATGCGTAATTAGGACGTGTGATAATTTATGCACCAGTATACAGTGTAATAGGGTATATAAAGGTATTCAACAATGTTAAAAAACTCATTAGTAATTCATAAAGAAAACACAAAGGAAAATCATCTGCATGTATATGTGATACAGATTCATGTTGATTCACATAAACTTTAACTTTGATTTTCTCGGCTTAGACAACGTTTACTTTTAAAATTACTTCGCCAATGAACTCATAAGATGAGTCGTTTTCTCGCCTTCGGCTCGAGTTTGTATATCTGATACAACACGGACGCGAATGTTGTAAACAACTTAAAAAACGGCTCATCTTATGCGTTCATTGGCGAAGTAATTTTAAAAATAAACTCAAAAGAGAAAATCAAAGTTAAAGTTTATGTAAATCAACATGAATCTGTATCACATATACAGATACGACACGCTTATGATTTTTCTTTGTGTTTTCTTCATGAATTATTAATGAGTTTTTTAAATAGTACGTATAATCTTTTAAAATTGTATACAATTGTAAATCTCACTTATATAAGAGAGGCTGCCCAAAAATCGTGTACTTTACAAATATATTCTAATTTCGTAATAATAATAATAGGTCAATAGTTATATATACACGCTGGCAATATTTTATGTACGTTTTATAAGCCGAATTTCGGTGTCGTCGAATGCGATTAAGACAATAGTCAATTGATAATAATGAGATGATAAAACTCATTAAGCTTCATCCTTCATTTACAAGGGCGTAGGAACCGGGGGGGAAGGGGGGCTAGGCCCCCAAGTTTTGCCAAGTGCCCTTTTTCAGGGAACAAATATTCCCTTTCTTGGGTGAAAAATGTTTAAGGATAGCCTCTTTCTGATAATCAGTATATAAAAGAATATACTGATAACATTGTTATCAATGTTGCCAATTTAATTGGTGTTAAACTAAAGAATGATGATATTTCTGTATCTCATCGGCTTCAAACCAGCAAAAGTTACAAAGGACGAAATAAAGAGATGCCTCCAATTATCGTAAAATTTAGGAGACGAAATATTAAGGAAAGTTTGTATAAAGCAAGAAGGCTTTTAAAAAAAATTCTCAACCAAGGATGTTGGCTATGTGAGAGAAGATAATATATTTATTACAGAGAGCCTTACATCAAAGAACAAGGAATCATTCAAGGAAGCGTACAAAGCAAAGAAAGAAAAAGATTTTAAGTTTATATGGACTGCCTCAGGGTCTATCTTTCTGAGACGAAATGAAACATCTCCAGTCCTTAAAGTCAACAGTATCAGCGATGTTCAAAAAGTTAAATAATCTGGAAACTAAGTACTTAAATTTAATTTATCATTTGCTTGCCAACAAATTATGAGTTTGCTTTATTCTGTTATAATTATCAATGACCTGCCCAAAATGTACTGTAAACGTTAGTAATGATAACGTTAATTTCAATATTCAGGACTATAGTCTCCTGCCTTTTTTAGATTTAGGCTCTAATATCACTAATATACCTCATTTAACTAACTCTGATATCAATTTGCATATGCCCTATGAAAAGAATTTTAATTATTATATGGCACATGATTTTCACATTAATCAAGATATAGTTGAGTGCTATGATGCAAAAAATTTCTTCTCTGTACTCAATTGTAATATTAGAAGTCTTTCTGTTAATCTTGATAACTTTGTAAACATGTTGTCCGATCTATATTATCCATTTTCGCTAATTGGATTAACTGAAACTAAAATAAAATTTGGACAAGTTCCTATAACAAATTGTGAATTGCCTGGTTATCGCTTTGTATCTCAACCCAGTTATTTAAATGCAGGCGGGGTAGGATTTTTATAAAAAATGAAATAAAATTTACACAGCGTACAGATTTGACATTATCTAAGAATGAATTTGAAGCTTTATGGATTGAAGTGCAGAATGATGATCAGTGCAATATGGTATGTGGTATCATTTATAGGCATCCAAGTGGGAATGTTGGTATATTTCAGAAGTATATTGATACTATTATTGATAAAATTCACAGGGAAAATAAGTACTGCATAATTTTGGGAGATTTTAATTTAGATTTATTGAAATTTGAGTCTTATTCTCCAACAGATGATTTTATGACCAGCCTAGGCACATATTTTTTTCAATCATACATACTTCAACCAACTCGAATTACTGATCATTCTGCTACACTCATTGATAACATATTCTTCAAGTCCCTTGAACATTTTACTATCAGTGGAAATATATTATATGACCTCACAAACCATTTACCAAACTTCCTACTTCTTAATAAATTTTCTCTACTGCCAACCAATGTTGAGATCTTTCTAAACGAGATTATTCTAAACTTAATGTGTCATGTTTAGTTAATGATATTCAATCAGTTAATTGGCATGATTTTCTTTCCACAAATAATCTCAGTTTAACTACATTATTTGATATTTTTTATACAGAACTTTTAGACATAATGGACAAGCATATTCCAGTTAAACAACTTTCCAAAAGAGAACTAAAAATACAGTCAAAGCCTTGGATTTCAACTGCTATAAGAAAATCTATACAGGTCAAAAATGGATTTTATAAAAAATATCTTAGAACTAAATCCCCCTATTATCATTCCAAATTTAAGTTCTATAGAAACAAATTAAATCATCTTTTGCCAATAAGTAAAAGAAATTACTATAGTGATTATTTTAACAAAAATACAAATAATGATAAGTTAATTTGGAAAGGTATAAAACAAATTATTCGGGTTGATCCTAAAACATATCAAACACCTGTAAAAATTATAGATAATAATCATGAAATAACTGATAAAAATGAAATTGCTAATATTCTATGTGGATATTTTTCTAATATTGTTGAACAGCTTGCGAGCGCTATACCAAATGTGAATAAATCACTATTAGATTACATGGCCACGTCTCCTACCGAGAGTTTTTATGTAGTTCCAGCTACATCACAGGAAATCGAAGCTGATATTTCAAAATTAAACCATAAAAAAGCAACTGGGCCGTATAGTATTCCAGTTAAAATTTTGAAAATCATCAAATATGTCATATCGAAACCTCTTGCGATATTATTTAATATCTCTTTCTCTTTGGGTGTGGTACCAAGTAGTTTTAAGATAGCAAAAATAATTCCAGTTCATAAGGGTGGATCTCAGAGTTGTCTAAACAATTATCGACCAATCTCACTTCTTTCTATATTTAATAAATTGCTGGAAAATCTTATGTATAATAGGTTAATTAACTTTCTTGATACGAAAAATATGCTGTATGAAAAACAATTTGGTTTTCGCACCAATCATTCTACTAATCATGCAATTTTAAGTATCATTGATAAAATACAGTTATCAATAGAGGAGCGAAGTTACTCCTGTGGAATATTCCTCGACTTTAGTAAAGCCTTTGATACAGTTGATCATAGTATTTTAATTAAAATATTGGATATGTTTGGAATTAGTGGAATTGCAAGTGAATGGTTTGCTTCGTACCTTACGAATAGACAACAGTACGTTTCCTTAGACAATATTTTATCTGATTATAATACAGTAACGTGTGGTATTCCTCAGGTGTCAGTTCTTGGTCCTCTTTTATTTCTGATGTATATAAATTATTTTAATAGGTGCTCGAAAATCTTGGATTTCCACCTTTAAACACAAGAATCTTGTAGAGCTTCAAACAAATCTAAATAGGGAATTACATAAAATTCATGTTTGGTTGTGTGCTAATAAGCTGTCTCTAAATGTTGATAAATCAAACTTTGTGATATTCCATCCTCCTCAAAAGAAAATAAATAATGATATAAAACTAAATATTAATGGTAAAGAATTAAAAAGACATTTCTGCATTAAATATCTTGGTATCCTTATTGATTCATATTTAAATTGGAAAATCAGGTTGACTATATTGTAAAAAGGATTAAACGAACTATTGGGATTATCTCTAAACTTCGATATTATGTCAATAAAAGTATTCTTCTCAATATCTATTACGCATTAGTACATCCCTTCCTAATTTATGGTATACTTGCTTGGAGTAATACATATCCAACTGCGATTAAGCCACTGCAAATATTGCAAAAAAAGGCAATACGTTTAATGACCTTTTCCAAATTTGATGCACACTCAAGCCCCCTGTTTAAAGACCTTAAAACAATAAAGTTTTTTGACCTTATTAATCTACATATTACAATTTTCATGCATAAATTTCATAACAATAATTTGCCAACTGCATTTAATAATTTCTTTACTCCGGTCAACCAGACACATAATTACAACACTAGACTTGCATCCAAATCATCCTACTCTATTCCCAAAACAAGAACAAATTATGTAATTTTCAACATAAGATATCAAGGAGCAAAAGTATGGAACTCTCTTGATGAAACAAAAAAGCTCTATTTCTTTCCTCATTAAAAAGAATTTAAAAGCTAATTTTATCCATGATTATTGATAAATTATGGCTAATTTAATCAATTTTCGTAGATTGTTGATTTTCTATGTAATGATTAACAAAATCTCCTAAATGATGTGCAGCGGTTGTTTTCTTTGTTTCTTTGTCTGTGTGTCCTCTGTCTCCGTATTTGAATTTAATGTGTTTATGTTATACAAATCTATCCAAAAAAAAATAAATTGGCATCTTTCACTATAATGATCTGGCTGCCCGACATCTAGCCCTTTACGGTTATTACGGGTAGCCAGTACCTATATATCTGATATTTATAGGCCTACTAAGTGAATTGTAATAGTGTAAGAAATATTTTCTTTGGGGTACAAATAAATTGTTGTTGTTGTTTCGGTTGTATGTCCCTAGAAATTGAAATCGAATTGCTAATAGATCATATTATTGTTGTTGTAGTGTACTTGTAAAATAAAAACGTATTAAGTGTCATTTAATAAATGCATCAATTTTGCTTTATGCACTCGCGTTTATACACTGTATGTAGGCTGTATGGGCAGTCTCTGAGGTATATGCAGTCTCTGAGTGCCCTCTAGTTTTATAAAGTGATTATGATTGTTACGGATAATTATGCAGCCAGCTATTCAGTAAATTGTAACATGTGAATTCAATCCATTCTCATTGAATTTTCAAAACGTTATTGTGTTCATATGAAGCAAAAGTTCTGTCACCTGTCGTTTACACTTGCCAATGTTAACTGTTGAGTAACATACACAAACTATTTGAGGGACATGTATATTCCTGTAGCAAAGAGATCAATCATATATCGAAGACCACTGAATAATAGAGAATGTTTTGAAGGTCATGAGTGAAGTATATGATTCAATTCCAGTCCTGTGCACAGTTAATGATATACCACACTGTTCAGTTTAACACAGCATATCCACACAAAAACAGTTTGTGTTGTGGAAGAATATCAGTTTGAGTAGAAGGTATCACAAGTTTAGTTTTGTACATTGTGTGCCACTGATCTGATCCATGCATATAATATATGATTATTGTAGCTGTTAAGTTATTTTCCATACTAATGAATTGAGATAAGATTGTTTTGCAAGTGGGTTGTTCTGACAAAGATCCAGCCAATATCCAGCTCATTGATCATTCTTGTATTAATCTCTAAACAAAAGCATTTATGTTTGAAAGCAAAATGACAACGTAATGAGGGGGGAGGGTGGCGACTCTATTATTAGCATTTGAAAATGTTTCTAAACATTTTGTTTAATTAGTAATGTGTAAACGCAAGATGTATACGTATTTTAACTGATAACATCTTAATCTTTTCTCTAAAACTACATTTGATGGCAGCTTAATTAGACTGTTGTTTTGAACAGAGTTACAGAAATACAGGACCAGGATTTAGTTCAATATTTCTTGAGAACATTAGTTTCCTGTGATATTGTTCATTGGCAATATAATGCCTGCTATGTTACGACTGTTTAATATATTACACAATGATTGTTTTACTGTATTACTGTCTATATAAATGTTTATAATAAAATACGTGGTATTTGACTACTTACCAGATGAGGATAAGTTTCCATGTTGATAGATAACTTCGGAATATAAATATCGCAAGTTGCCTCGTACCCAGGCGTCTCTTTGTAAAAAAGCAGTGATGCGCATATGACGAGTTTACATGAAGTATTGTAGTAGGGAGAGATGGGCGAAGGGGCTGATGGGAAGAGTGCACTTGAACTGCGAGACGCCTGGTAGTTCTTGGTCGATTTCTCGCAAGAAAGTCGATTTCTTGCAAGTTGTGATATTTCGTTGTCGTTTACGATTTTTTGCTATTTGTTTTTGTTGAATTGACTAATGTTAATATTCTTCTGTCATCTGGGCGTGAATTCATGCTGTTATTCTTGGTATATATGAGTATGCCTTATTTAAAGTCCCTGGAAATTCCAATATTAACATGTCAACAACCGAAGCGTTGAAGAACTAGACTTTCAGGAACTAGATTTGTAAGCTATAACTATATAAAGGTACAAACTATGAAATTGCACTGTTGTAATAAATATTTCAAACTTTACGGCTGTGAACTTTTATTTACTTGGGCTTTTGTTTACAGTATACATTGCCATTGGCATTGTGATCGACTGATCGAGCCTTCAGCTAAAGAAGTTATTAATACAAAAGCAATTATATGACTTTCTAATAATTTCTCTGTCACTGTTTTATACGAAGCAACTAATAGCATTCTATTATTCTCCATGTAATATCGAATGACATATTCGAAATATCACACGGTTAATTTCTCATAATTTTTCGCGTATTTTGCATGTCATCACACATCTACAAATTTATTATTATTTGCCAATGGCGTTCAATTCGACTCTTCGTCAGAAAACAAGGTTTTACACAAACAGTATATGACGATATGGTAACGTTTTGTATTGAATTCCATGTTTTCCCGCCATGACAGTATACGAGAACTGCCAGGCGCTCTCCAGCACGCACCCTTCCCAACAGCCCCTTCGCGCGTCGCCTGCCTTCCTGAATACTTCATGTATTATAATTATTTAAAACGCCTGAATACGAGGCTGTATCGCAAGTGTAATGGTAAAAATAAGACAAAATCAACATTTTTTTAAGCCAAAATGCCAGAATGTGAAAATGGCAAAGAATAACACGAGGCCAAACTATGCCCGTTCGCAGGTTAGATGCGGGCACACGATGTAAACAATTGATGTAACCTAATCGCTGATTGGCTTAAATTGGCGGAATTATAGAAGCTCGTCGGTGAATGGTTACGTGCTAACACACGGTACGGTACGTTTGCGACAGCAATATAGGTGGGTACATATGATTCAGGTTAAATACTAGAAATACATGCATGCAATAACCCCTCGCCTGTTTTCAAAAGATGTATACTCAGTGCCGTTGCGAGTATACTCAGTGCCGTTGCGAGTTCGTCTCAGGGGGTGTGTGAGGTTAGATAGAGGAGGGGGGGGGGTGGTTACAAAAATGTTTCCAGATGTACAAAAACTTTTCCGGACATATAATAATTTTTCCGAAAATACAGTTGTTTTCCAAATTCACTTTCTCATGTCCTGAGAATTACCTGAATTCCTTTGAAAATCTTCTGTAAATCTACTTAAATTTACCAGTAAAAGTGCACTGGAAACCTACCTGAAATTCCTCATGAGCAATTATCAGGGGTGTTGCACCCCCCCTCCCCCAGTGAGTTCCAAGCAAACACTCTCTGATTTATTGTTCCTGTATTTCACCTCCCAAAATATTGTGCATCATACTATAGAGCATTTTGCTGTTGTCATGCTCTAGCATGGTTCAAATTTATGAATTTTTATTATATAAAGTATAGTGTTTTACAGAGATTTCGAGCACTGATAAAAATGATAATCTCACATGTGAAATTATTCATGATAATCTCACATGTGAAAATTATCGCCTTTTCAATTATCGCTTTTCTGTAAAAATTATCGCTTTTCAAAGACTGTCCTTTATATAATAAACAGAAAAATACATGGGTGGTTGGAAATACCAGATTTGTTTTTCGTGTTGAACATGGCATCTCTCTCGTTCGCTGCGCTCACTTGTTCGCTGCGCACTCATGTTCAACACTCGAAATAAATCTGGTATTTCGTGCACCCATGTATTATTCTCTATTTAACCTACAACTTGACTGGTTTAAATTATTATCAAGTTATCAGTGATTGTAAAAGTTGCAGATAGAAGTGTTTTGTTTAATATTATTATCAAGTTATCAGTGATCGCAAAACCTATAAATCCTTAATTTCAAATGTTAGAATGTTAGGGTTTGTAATCAAAGTGAGAATATATACATTTTAAGACCTAACCAGGAACGACTGCCAAAAATGGCGCACAAGGTCCTCTGGTAGGAATTGAACCTACGACCCTGCGATTCCGGTGCAGCGCTCGAACCAACTGAGCTACAGAGGCCTGCTGTTGAGCTTTAACCGTAGGTTCATGTATATTTAGGTATCGGGTGTGCGGGTTGTGATAAGGTGGACTTCAATAATTTGGATTCTTGCGCTTCACTTGTTGGAATTAATATTAGAATGTTAGGGTTTGTAATCCAAGTGAGAATATATACATTTTAAGACTAGCTAACCAGGACGACTGCGAAAAATGCGGCACAAGGTCCTCTGGTAGGAATTGAACCTACGGCCCTGCGATTCCGGTGCAGTGCTCTAACCAACTGAGCTACAGAGGCCAGCTGTTGAGCTTTAACCGTAAGTTCATGTATAATTAGGTAATCGGGTGTGCGAGTTGTGATAAGGTGGACTTCAATAATTTGAATTCTTGCACTTCACTTGGTGGAATTAATATTAGAATGTTAGGGTTTGTAATCCAAGTGAGAATATATACAATTTAAGACCTAACCAGGAACGACTGCGAAAAATGCAGCACAAGGTCCTCTGGTAGGAATTAAACCTACGACCCTACGATTCCGGTGCAGCGCTCTAACCAACTGAGCTACAGAGGCCAGCTGTTGAGCTTTAACCGTAAGTTCATGTATATTTAGGTAATCGGGTGTGCGGGTTGTGATAAGGTGGACTTCAATAATTTGGATTCTTGCACTTCACTTGTTGGAATTAATATTAGAATGTTAGGGGTTGTAATCCAAGTGAGAATATATACATTTTAAGACCTAACCAGGAACGACTGCGAAAAATGCAGCACAAGATCCTCTTGTAGGAATTGAGCTTCTGGCCCTGCGATTCCGGTGCAGAGCTCTAACCAACTGAGCTACAGAGGCCGGCGTTGAGCTTTAACCGTAAGTTCATGTATATTTTGGGAACCGGGTGTGCGAGTTGTGATAAGGTGGCAGTGGCGGCGCCAGGGGGGGGCAAGGGGGGGGCAAATGCCCCCCCAGAATTATTTTTTGCCCCCCCATTTTGCCCCCCCTCAAAAAAAATTATTAGTCACTAAGAGCGACTAAAGGCTACACAAGCGTTCTGTCGTTATCGGAAAATGTATGGCTTATAAGTTGTCATTACTCATTAGTGAATGCGCGTATACATGAAACTGTTTTTTACAGTTTCAATATTAGTTTGTAAATCTCTGAATGGTAAAACTTGCCACTACTCCAATAATACGTTTCAAAAAAAGACAAAAAAGCTTTAGTTTTGCAGAGTATCACGAAATTATTTGAATAAACCACATCGCATATAAGGGGGGCGAATGTCCTAAAGAGGGGCGATATTCCTAGGGTATTCGCCCCACCCCCCTGGGAGGCGATATTCCTAGGAATATCGCCACGTTTTGAGGGGGGGGGGCGAATTTCCTAGGGGGGCGACCTTTTTAAAAATTCTATCTTGCCCCCCCAAAATTCGAGTTTGCCCCTCAAATGCCCCCCCAAATTTGGAAGCCTGGCGCCGCCACTGTAAGGTGGACTTCAATAATTTGGATTCTTGCACTTCACTTGGTGGAATTAATATTAGAATGTTAGTGTTTGTAATCCAAGTGAGAATATATACATTTGTAAATTCTCACTTGGATTACAAACTATTCTCATTTGGATTACAAAATATATACACAAAATATATACATGTACTATACATTTGTATATTCTCACTTGGATTACAAAATAGTCTCACTTGGATTGCAAAATATATACATGTATATATTCTCACTTGGATTACAAACCCTAACATTCTAATATTAATTCCACCAAGTGAAGTGCAAGAATCCAAATTATTAATTTCAAATGCCCCGCCGGGGCTAAGGTTCGAGTGGAAATGCCCAACCCCCGGGATGTGCTTTACAGGAAAATGGCTGGGCGAGGGGGATGGGCAAACTTCGATTCAGAAATTTACTCTGACCACTGGATGAAGAAGACATTAAATAAGTACTGGTCAATAAACAGAAATGTATTTTATTTCATACTGTTACAATTTTATTTTTATACTTTAAAAATAAAATATAAACATGCAGCATAGAGTATGCAAATTCGAGGCAAAATTATTCGTGAATCGGTTTATTTATTGGATTTTATAACAAATAGCAACTATAAAAGTTTATACCTTGTCTTCACATCGCTTTATTCTGTTAGCCAATTAATGCTTTTAAATTTACATATTTTAGAATCAGTTCCTTCCCTGGTAACTGCATTTCTAAATGAAATCAACGTGAGTAGTGAGTGCTGAGCAGGCCGTTTTACTATAAACAAATTTTAGGAATTGATAACAACTTTGGAAAATATATCGTTGCACATTCGGTCACAGTCGGAAAAATGTTCATAGTATGTTGTACCGTCGCTTGCAGCTAACGATGAACAGTCGCTCATAAAAACATTCGCATGATTAGAATCTTCAATGTTTGTCAAGAACAACAACACTTAATTATTGTTTCCCATGTGTACAATAATAAGTAACAAAACTTTGTGTGGTCTGAACGTGTTGGGCTAGAGACCTACTGGAAACCTTTACAGGTTTTTTAATGAGAATGGAGAATGTTTCATCTGCAACTGTTCATCCTTAGTTGCAACCGACGGTATTTGACAGCATAAAATTGCCTGTGGCTGTGATAACTGATATAAATAAAATACAGTCTGGTTATACTGACTTGAGCGTGTCATGATAAACTCTTTATTGGAAAATTGTGAAGAAATAGTCGAATATAGAGGGTCGAATATCATACTTCAACTTGTATAGCTACAGTAACATTGGTACATAGCGTTGTGAAGACAAGCCTTTGTTTACCTTTCGCTTCAGCAGTCTTTTCCATGCTTCTCTACGCTTTCCCGGGTGAGCTTCTCTTTCCTCAGCAGTCTCCTCGAGCAAACGTTGTCGTCTTCGCTCCCTTCTTTTCGCTAGACGCTCGGCTTTCTTGTCGTTTCCTTGCCGCACTTCATTTAGCTCCATATCTTTTCAATTGGTATTTGATACCGTAATTGTTTGATAAAAGTTTTAATAAACCTAATTGCTTTTAAAGCTGCCAAATGTTTTTGTTTCGTTCCCCGCAGGAACGAAACGGTACTGTATTTGGTTTCGAGCAATATCACAGGAAAGTGACATCAGAGATCAAAGTTATCCAATCCTTTGCCAGTATTCTTGCTGAAACGTCAATTAAATTTAGAATCGTCCAATGAGATAACCGCTCCAAGCATAAAACGTTTTTTGGAGGCGTGGCGTATAAACACAAAACCTGTCTAGATCGTGGGACGCCCACATGTTATTTTTAGACACAGCATGCAATATGATTGACAAGTGTTGTAGATTTCGCTACACAAAAAATTTATATTCTCATGAACATGTCCGCAGAGTGTGCATTTTGCTTTTTAATTAAACTTAAAAATTCAAGGTACTTTTATGTAATTAAGAATCAGTTTCTCTATTTAACCGAACAGCGAACAAAGATTCAATTAGTCAGTTCTGTGTACGGCTTGACTGCCAAGCTTTCTCAAGGTCTCAACCGAGCTCTCAACTGACTGGACGCGGATATACCAATATACTCTAACGGGCTAACATTCTAACAACAGCAACAACAAAATTCTCAATCGTACCACGAAGAAGGCGATGTAGCTGAGAAAACAACGCTGGCGAAGCCAGTTGGCAGAACATCTTGGCTGTCAACAACAAGCTTTCGAATACATGACTAGTTTGGCTGTTCTTTCAGCGTCGCGTGTCCAAAATTCGTCAAAGATTTTGATACAGACCTTTCAAAATACTATTTGTTTGATTTATTTTCCGCCATAAAGCATATTAAAAGAAAAGAAATTCGAAGAAATCGATAATGGATAATTATGGATTTGTACGTGCGTTTGACCTTTATATTTATATTGAGCCCTATCCCTCCTCCGCAGAGGCTTACATGAAGTTTCTAGTGAGGGAAAAGTGAGCGCAAAAGGAATCTTCCCATCACACCGCGCGCGCTCACTTTTATTCAGGAAACTTCATGTAAGTTATTTGTAAATACTTAAGAAGGCTCTGCGGAGGAGAGAGATTAAGCCCTTGACCGAACTATTTTTAAAACTGTTGTTTATGTGAACTTGCAACCAATCAAAATCTTAGGGCCTGAACTTCAGGTTAAATCTACAGGCACGATGATTTATATTTGAAGTATTCAAGCGCCAACAGCGGCAGGGACGCCGGAACGAGGTGAAGGCAAGGGGGGCAGATTTTAGTAAAAGGGCGCTTTTAAATTGATATATACTAGGAGATGTTTCCAAAACATGATACATCGGGAATTGAACTTCGCCTAATCATGTTTTCTATTTATTGGATGATAGGGGTGTGAGGAGGTTCTCCGCCAGGCGATTGTGCTATTCTTGAAGCTCGATGACTGCATTTCTTGCGTTTTCTGCAGCAAATTTGTACATGAAGAATCGCACTGACATTTCTGAATATTCGCTATTTCGCGAAGCCAATAATTTAAATTGAAAGGGCACCTCTGCCCCCCTTGCCCCTCCTGGTAAAGGGCAACGGGCGCGGCTGCCCCTCCTGCCCTCCTCCCCAGTTCCGGCGTCCCTGAACAGCGGTATATATTTGTTATATAGTTTTCTTTGTTTTTCTTCATTTCAAACACTACTACTGTATTTCTAGACCGCTCGGCCCCTCCAGGTAGTGAAAATTTATACTAATACGTGCAAAAAATTACCAGAAACCGCCCGCCTCACAAAATAAACCAATTTCATTGCTCGACATATACAAGTGATTTATGGTCACAACCGCTAATTACAGACGTCTGGTATTTCTATAATTAAAGAAATATTTTCTTGTTGCAAATTTACAAAAAACTGTAGCGCAAAAAGCTAAATATTTTCATGAAGTATCTGTCAGTTAAAGTCGTCATTCGTCATACAACAACAAATTTTAAATTTGACCAATCGGTGTTCGCTATTCATGACAGTCCGCCATATTTATGAGATCAGTGAGGATGACCACCCACCGAAACACGCACAGTGACCCATGCCCACGATATTTGATAAACTTTAGACTTCCCTAATGCTTTCGTTCCCCCTGGTGTAAATAGCCGGGGGGGAATTAGTAATCTCGCATGGCGCTTCGCGCCGCCGGTTCGGGGATAATAATAAATTAACTTATAACTTTATACTAGAAAATTCAAGAAACAGAAACCCCCGCCTTGCTGAATTCCAAACATGAAGTATTGTCATGGTTACACGATATTATAAGAATAGTTTTAAATTGAAAATTCCTCCAAAATATCACTTATTTTTTCAAAATTATCAACTTCCCATACATATATATGCTAGGTATGTTATTATGGGTAATATAAGGTTCAATTTTATGTAAAATTCAATTAAAGTCGGCGACTCTGCTCCATTCTTTTGGACGTTTTCCGACGGTTTTTGGCTCTCAAAAAGGTTTTGAAATTTGCAAAATCTTGCAAAAACCGATGCAAAAACACAATATATTTGCTGATTTGCAAGAAATGTTTGTTATTTCGCTGTCGTCATTTGTCATACAACAACAAATCAGTAAATTTGACCGATCAGTTTTCCCTATCCATGACAGTAAGCGACATATTTTGAGATCAATGAGGATGACCACCCACTCAACATCGTTGGTCACGCGAGCGATCATTGATGAACTTTCTTTCTTTCGTTTTCGTTTCTTGCTTTCGTTTCCCCAGGTGTAAATAGCCGTGCGAAATTAGTACCTCCCCCCCCCGGAATTACGCCCGGAGCGGAAGGTACTAATGTACTAGCGCCTGAAGGTACTAACGCATGGCTCGGGGATAAAATGTACATATATATCTGCTAATAACTATATTTTGCTTTATACAATGCATATGTGTGTTGAAACACAACCTCGTTCCCAGGGCTTCAGTGTGAGGACAAGGCGAGACAAAAAATGGCAGTATTTGACAGCTGCTCGTCAAGGAGTGGCGAGATATTCTTTAGTGAAATATACAAGTCTTCAAAACAAATAAACAGCCAAAAGACTTCTCAATCGATATTATTTATGTGTAGAGCGAAGTTTGGCGCGAATCAGCTGAAATCTATGAAGAACCCGTCTATGTTTTCTAAGATATACCGATATTTCTGGAGATTTTCAACTACAGGCAAAGCTACATCCAAGCTGCATCTAGGCGTCTCCTGCATGCAAGTGGTGATTCACACGAAATTTCCATTATCTCGTCTTGAACAATATGGCTATTGCTATAATTAATATTTAGCTAAAATATGCTCTTATAGGTCTGACTTATTTCAATATAAATAAACACAAATATAAAACCTCGCGTAACCTGTTACGCTGTACAGGAATATACGGACTCGCTTGTTTCGTCGGACACCAACACTTGCCGTTCAGGAGCAATGCTTGCCTACAAATTTTATCCCCATTCACAATCTTTGTTTTATTTTATCGTATAGTCGCAATTTTCAAGTATTCGGGGTATTCTGAAACTGAAAAACTGGGTGGCGTGCGAATCTTGTAGAGACTACATCGGCCTAGGCGCAGAGCTATTAAGTAAACTGGGCCTAAATTAATTTAGTAGTTTCATTTAATTGTTTGTCTTGCTTTTATTTGTCAGTACAGAATATTGTAAATTAAAATATTACTACAATTCACTACGCGTAGTATTTCATCAGACATCTGCATTAATAAAACTGTACAAGGAAAACTACAGCTTAAATAATAGTAGACGTTTCTTGTTTTGTCAGGAAACATCACAGCTCACTTCGACACGGCTTTTGAGTTTTGTAATAACCGGCTGAGGCGAAAGTAAATTATGCAGTCGGGAAAACGTCTTACTTTGAAAGATTATTTTACAAAACATACTCGTACACACAAGAATCATAAAAATACAATTGTTGAATTGTTATTGTCAACTGTCAAGTTCAGTTATTTTTAGACAATATGGTGTTAGCCAATCAGAATGCAAAATTGACCGGCCCGGACCAGGGCTTCCTCGTGTCCCGCCTCGTCCTCACACTGAAGCACTGGGAACGAGGTTGGTTGAAACATGCATTGTATGGAGCAAAATATAAAATCAAATTAGCTTGAAAGCCTTAAAACCCAGAAGCTCCTATTGCTTAAAAGTTGCAATTTTTGTTAAATCGCCTAAAAACGCATTATCTCACGGCGAATTTAGGCGAGTTACTGCCCCAGAGTATAGGCCTTAAATTTGCCTCTGCTGTGACTTTTAAGTTAAATTACTCGAAAGTAGTGTGACGAAAAATACTACTATCAAGTTAATTAGGTTTTGAGCATAAATTTATTAGCGTGTGCACGTACAGACAAGTTTATTGCGTCGGTTATGTGTTGCTCAGTTTGTAAACTGGTTGATAGCTTTCAGCTCATCATACGATTTTCGAGCAAATGGTATAATTGTTAAATTTTCAAGTACCCTCTCATCAAGCAATAGGAATAAATTTCCACATAATAATTCTTTACTCCTGGACAAATTCCTTGCTCTAAAATTTCTCAATTTTGTTAAAGACAAGTCACTTTGCGAAATACTGTTTTCATTATTTTCGATAAGTACACTATAATTTTCAGCAAACAACAAATCAACAACCACAAGCAACAATATTGAATGGTGCATGCTGCATGGCAATAGCAAGAAAAAACAATAGCGAAAACGAAACGCAATAACAACGACCTCCACAGGAATACCGACACCAACAATATAATTGAAAATATTGATCTAGCCATACGTATACATGGTTGTTTACCTGAACATTCTTTACCATTTCCTGCATAACCAGTGAGACAAGCACAGTTGTAGGAACCATTGGTGTTGATACACTCCGCGTTCAAATCACAATCGTCGCTGGTCGGTTCAGAACATTCATCGATGTCTGAAATGGGAAAGATTTCGAGGGTTTTCGGAAACTTATATATCGAGCACGTTGTTTATTCGCGATTTTGTCAGTGTAAGTTTTATTCTATTAGGACATTTTATACATGTGCAATTGATAACTTCTGCGATATTCACGGTGGTATGGAACAACTATTCACACATCTCGCATTTGCATGACATGACTGCCAGTCATGCAAACACGTGTTCAATAGTTGTGAATGGATCTGATGCGAGGTGGGTACGTGGTTTGAGAGAATATCGGCTATATGTATAATGGATGCATGGTCATCGGGTTTTTGTAAGGTTTGTATTTTCCATTGCGGAGGTCGAAATTACGGACAACTAGAAATTTGCCATACACGTAAATTTGCCCATCCAGTGATTTTTAAGTTAAGTTTCTCGAAAGTAATGTGACTAAAAATATTACTATCAAGTTATTTAGGTTTTGAGTATAAATTTATTAGCGTGTGTACACGTACGGACAAGTTCATTGCGTCTGTTATGTGTTGCTATGTACGGTTTGTAAACTGGTTGATAGCTTTCAGCCATAGAAATAATAGACATAGAATGCGTGCTTCTATCTTTTCTCAGAAAAAATTTTGTCTTCACAAAATGGCGGATTTATGAGGGTATTTTGGCTAGTCCCAGATTCCTGCGGCAAGCAATTTCGCGC